CTACTCAAGAACTTGCTTTATTATCTCTGTATTTAGTTTATTTTGGTTGAAATCAGAGCTCTGATGAGGAAAACCGAAGCAGGGAGCATATATTTTCCTGCCCACTGCATGTCTGGACAGCATAGCTGAATGTATAGGCTTTGTACGCCTGGAGCTGGTGGGTGAGCTATTCAGGCCAGGACAGAGAGCCCATCTGTGTCTTAGTCAGTACTTCATTCCTGGCTCGCTTTTTCCACAAAGAGGCACCTAAATCTTTAAAGAACAGAGTCAGCTTGTTGGAGTAGAGGAAAGAAATTCTATAGCTCTGCTAGCCCATTTTTTTAGTATCTCTTGAATCTTTCTGAGATTAAGGATGTGGTCCCAGGCATGCAGGGGTTTTTTTCTGCTTTGAAACCAAACAAAAGGGCCTAGCTACAGATAAGGGTATGACAAGAAAAGTTAACCCTCGGGTTGCTGGTAGCTTTTGGCTCTATTTCCAGCCTAACTTTGTCTGGAAGTGTGACTGAATGGCACTGGCTCCCCTTCTTCTGAATGAAGAGAAAGACTTTAATGTCTTCCAGCAGGATCATCAAATGGAGTGAAGCATTGCCAAGTTCAGTCTGAGCTGCAGGCCCCAGTGATTAAAAACAGACCTGTGCCTTGAGGAGCTGGCGGATGAGACTGTGTGTGACTGGCTCCACATTAGCTTTTCCTTGCAAGACAGGGCAGTCCCTGTCCAGCCTGGTGATGCTGTCATATTCTGGTAGTTTCAGGGACATTTTACTGCATCAGTTTTACAAGCCCTTCTGAGACCTAGCTGAAGTGAGATGAACTTTACAGAACGAGCAGGACACCGCCTCATCAGTCTGCCCTGTTTAGCCCTGGGAGACCAAAGTAGGTGCATCTGCTATGTCTCTTGCCAGTGCAGTTGTGAGAGCCCTAGTGATAGTTTTCCTGAGGGTAGACTTCATCAAGGCCCTCCAGCACATGCCCAGATGAAAGATTTCTGCAAGCCCAGAACTGTCAGCAGCTCTAACTTGCCTTTGACAGTCCCTTTCCAGCCCCACTCCAAAGATTGCTCTTAGCTTGCTCCTTCTCTGAACCCTAACACTAATTTCCTTTTCTAAGCCATGGATAAGCTCTGCAGCCACTACAGATGAACTATTTCCACAAGGCCAGCTTTCCAGCCCCACTCTAACTGCAGCTCAGTGCTTTCTCTCTCTAAACCCCAACCCTATTCCTCTTACTGCAAAAGGCTTGGGCTGGGAACAATCTTGGTGGTCCTTGTCAAAAAAATTAGGGGTAGGATAGAAAGAAAAAGCATAGGACTGCAGCGTAATTTGAGCTGCAAAGGGAAAGTTGCAGTTACCAACAGACTTGGCTTGGGTGAAATATTTTGTCTGTGCAATGCTTGGTGACCTTTTCTAGTGCGTCCCTGGAAAATTAGGGTTCAGGGTTGAGGGAAGGAGAAAACACAGATCTGCAATGGAAGTTGGGCTGGACCAACCAAGGTGGGAGGCAGCTAAGAGAGCTGGGCTGGGAGAAGTCTTTTGTCCTGAAATGGCTTCAGGGTCTTTTCTTCCCCTCAGCAAAAAATTACCTGTGACGGCTGCTTGCCCTTTGGCACATACACTGTCACACAAGAAGAAACCCACACTTGTGCCAGCTCCTTTCACTCATCGTATGATAGGTAGATCAGCTTCATTCTCAGACATGTTGGTCTTGGTTTCGTGGCTGGTTTTTCCTGTTACCTGTTTGAAATTGTTTGAAGGGAAGTGAACAGTATTGCAGTAGAAGAATATTACAGTGCCTTTGTTTCCTCCAAAGACTGCTGTTTCTATCCAGGAGAAAAAGGTGTTACCAATCTCCATGACTGAGAAGGAGGAAAGACAGGGTCCCCAGCATCTGGCTCTGCAGCAGACACCCATAATAATGTTAATACTGTGCTTGTAAAAGGTCTATCTGCTGCTCTTTCTGAATCTCAAAGCAGGTCACCCTTCTATCTCTATCTGTTATCTTAGTGACACATTCCTTAACCTCTGTGTCAGTGGTCTCTGTTTGGCTGCAGTCAACTTGTTACCCCAGAGTCACTGACAGGTTAAAGCTACTGCTGTTGTGCTCCAAGTTTACCGAGAGGGCAAGGACTGATGTTGCCTGAAATGTATTAGAGCTTGTTGCTGACCAGAGACCAGCCAAGGCTAGGGAAACGTACACAAAGCTTCACACTGTAAGTAGAGATTACACATGCTGCTGTTCTGTGTGTGCTTGCATGTGTGTGTGTCTGACACTGCCTTTGTCCTTGCTCTAAGTTAAGTCTAGAACACCAGAACATGGGCTTCTGGAAAAACATTATCTCTGTGTTCTATACCTGGGGAATGCAGAGCATTTACCTCTTTCCCAGAGCCTTCTCTGCACAGGTCCTTTAGGAAACGGCTGTGATTAAAGAACGAGAGATTGAGAAAACAGGGCTGCTATCCTGTAATTGCCCTGACATCTACCACAGCCTGACCTCCCTAAACCTAGATGTCTTGCATCTAGAAGAGTGAATACCATGTATCATTTTAAGGAAATAGATGGGTTTGGTGAAAGGAAGCCTGGCTCAGAGATTGATGATAGGATATGGAGGGGTTTTTTGTCTCTCAGGTGCATGGGGTCTAACCCAAGCTTGCTGTAACTAATGCTGAAGGACCTTGGTTTGCACTGGGCGATGGCCTAGGATCAAACATTCAGATCAAAGGAAGAGGGGGAAATGGTCACTAGCAGAAAAGCATGAGGGAGGTTAGACAGGACACGTGTTCCTGCTCAGTTTTTCACAGCTGAGGAGCCTGCACTGTAGCTTGCAATTCTTGTTACCTGGATCATTCCTGTGTGTGTTTACTATGATATGCAATGCTAAGAGTTAATCCCCCATGAGCAGGATCAGCAGACAGGCTTGGAGGTGAACAGTCATGGAGACTTCACTTTTTCAGCTGTGATCTGGATTCAGAAGTTATCTGAGAAACTGGGCTGAAAAAATTGTTCTTTCATGGCTTCCCAGCCTCTCTAAGTGCACTGGAAACCCTTGGACAGTGCTGAGCCCCACATACCAAGCAGTTCTGCTGTGCCCCATCATGACAGCAGGGATTACGTGATAAAATTACAAAGCAACCTGTGCAAAAGCAGGAAGAGATTCTCTGTCCTAGAACGTGACTTCAGAGACACCCATATCAGTGAAAATTCAAACAGATTAGAAATGAGAACTAGTAAAAACTTTACTCTGCAAGAAAACTAATATTTACAGTGGTAAAGATAAGTCACTCCCATGCTCAAGGGCATGCCCTCCTGCCAGGATAAGGAGGGAATTTCCTTCGAGACTCTCATGGCCCTCCAGCTCTGATGCTGTAATGCAGTTGTGTAGGCTGAGTTGTAAGGAAGCTTTCTGTCTTCTGACATATGACAAACTGAGAGGCAAAGGCAATTGGACTTTAGGATCCTTCTTGTGTGTTTCATTCAGGGAGTTAAAACTAATACTGAAAGGTTTATTTCACTCAGGACTCAGCAGAGTTGGAATGAATATAGAAAGCAGGTATGGTTTGACATGATGTCTCCCATGAAGGACAGTGAATGGTGGTTAGGAAACTTCCTGATGAGGGTTATCAGCCTCCCATGAACGTAGCACTAAAATAAAAATGGAAAACGTGGTTAGTAGCAGGAAGGTAAGCAGAGCCTTAAGAAGCGACAAGATCCCCTGGCCTGGTAAAGCACATGCATGCATCCGTTAAACACTGCTTCTGGCTATTGGTTGTAACACAGTGTATCTCAAATATTGCATGTTGCTTCCCCCCCCCCCCAGACCTGCAGGATTAACTAAGTGCTGAATGCATGATCTGAAGCTCCTTGATGTCAGTGGAAAGCTTCCTGTTCCTTTTAGAAATCTTTGAATAGAATTTCTTAACTGCTGTGGTCTGGTCTCATCTGAAATTGACTAGATTCTGGGTTTCTCCCACTTATTGAATTCTTATTACCAATTGTGGTTAGCTTGGATGCTATCTTCCCTGACTCCACTACATCTAGGGTGCTAGAATTTGGGTTTCAGAACACAACTCAGCAGCTGTCCTTTTAGACAGAGCATTCTCCTACTGGCAGGGATTGAACTAAGACCTTTGGGTATTACAGCCTGAGCCCCTTCCATGTTGTCAAAAAGATCTGGTGCCAATAGTGGCATTCAGCAGTTGGTATTGACCAGGAATTCCAATTGCTCCAAAGAGAGAGACAGTGCTTCATACTTGGTGATATAGGTCTACAGTAGATCTGACTTAAGAATTACCTAGACCAGTCTGGTTTTAGAGTATCTGGTGCTTCCAATATTTTCATACAGCACACATATTTTAGTAGGAAGGGCAATGTATTTTTTATGCATTTTACTCTGTGTTTTAATTTTCATTCAGCAATTTTAATTAAAGAAAAAGAAATAGAAATGCAAAGCTTGGAGGATGGTGGGGAATTTTCCTAACAGCCAGTTTTAATGTTGACAACTGTATTCTGTCATGTTATCAATCCCCTGCTAGCAGGATAGGTACCTGTTGGGCTGGGCAGCTGCAGGCTGTTAAAGGGAAATGGTGTTGAGAGCTAAGAGGTGCGTGCATGCAGAAAGGAATTGTATCCTATAAAGTCAATGTAGCCTTTTGGCATTCTTGGAACAGAAGATACAATGGAAGTATAATTACTTAATCCAGATTCAGCACAGCTTCTGATAACCATAAACATAATCTTAACCCCACCTTCCTTGTATATAATGAGATATAAACTGGCTTAGGCTAGAGGAAAGTTTGAAGCACTCTTAAGCAGGAAAAAACCAAAATCACTCAGCATATAATTCTTGGTTTTAAAAATAATGTTGTTATTCTGAGCCTGTTAGAAACTGGACCTTCACACAGGTTCACCCCCTCCATGTGAAAATTTCCCTCATTGTATGCCCTGAGTGATAGCTCAAGAAGAGTTTAAGCTGACACCCAGATGTCTCTCTTGCTCTCTGTTGGCAGGGATCTTTGGACAGCGATTGGAGGACACCGTACAGTATGAGAGGAAGTATGGCCAACGCTTGGCCCCACTGCTGGTGGAACAGTGTGTGGATTTTATTCGGGAGCGAGGTCTTACGGAGGAGGGCCTCTTTCGGATGCCTGGCCAAGCCAACCTTGTCAAAGATCTGCAGGATTCTTTTGACTGTGGAGAGAAGCCCCTTTTTGACAGGTGAGTTGACATCACCAAATTCAGGCTGGTTTATCTGTGGCATGTAAAATTTGGCATGAATGGCCTTGCAGTGGCGATCCTAGTTTACGTGTTCTTTCCATACCATCATTCTCTTGATTTAAAGTGCTGCTGGGGCTTTATCCTGCATGGTGTTGTGTGTGGAGGCCTTCATCCAGCTAAGTCCTTGAGAAGAGAGAGAAATTGAGCCCATTACTGTAGATGGGGCTACTACATTGTTTTAGCTTAAGCACATGTTGAATGAAATGCATTGCTAGATTTGGGTGCGGCATACTCAGCAGTTGGTGGTATCCCACCATAGAAATGGATATGGTAGAGATGAACTAGGTGCTTTGCTGCTTTCAGATGTTGCGTTCTCCCTTGCCACAACCACAGTGAATCTGCTCATTGGCAATATCTTGACTCTTCCCCTTCCTTTGTCACCAGGTTTCAGAATAGTCACCACCATCTCATACATGTTCCCTTGCTGTTATGTGTGCAATGCATAGAATTGGTCAGCATGTCATAACAAAGCACTTTCTGACGCCAGAAGAATTCTTGGCCAATGTGATTTTTTTGGTCCATGATTTCAGCAGCTGAGATGGAACGTTTATTTCGAAACTGAATATATCTTTTGATTGTCAACAAAAATTGAGTCAAATGTTTCTGAAATAAAAATAGCAATTTTGCATTTTTCTTCCCAGTATAAAAATGTTGATGTAATCACTCCTCGCCTGGTACAAAGACTTGCTAGTTACGTTTTTGTCCTACTGACCATTGCAACATCAGGGAGCAGCAAGGGCCAGCTGCTCTGCAAAGCAAGGTAAGCCAGGAGCCAAGTGTGGTAACAAGGCTGGCAGAGGCAGTGACACAGTCTAGTGATCACTAGACAAGTCCATAGTGATGAGGCAGGTCCAAGATCAGGCTAGGTAATCTGTCCGTGAGTCAGGGTCCAGGTCTAGATCAACAGGATCTGTAGCCAGGCATAGACATGGCTGTGAGGCAGTAAGAGCTGTAGCTCAGACATGAGATAAACAATAGAGGCTCAGCTCCCACGGGAAGAGTGTCAGCCCTGGCTCAGAGCACTCTGTCCAAGGTCAGCAAGGGAAGGGGGCGGCTCTCAGCTGTGCTATCTCTACCTTGGCCCTGAGCCGAGGCAGTCAAATATCAGGAGGATGGATGCTTTCAGGGCCCTTGCAGCAAATCCTGTCCATAGTCTGTAACTAACATTTCCTTCTGTCTCTTACATGTACATGCTACCCAGAGTGAAGGTCAGAATTGTGCTAACCTAAACAGTGCTTTCAGAAATGGGCCTTGATCCTAACAGAGACCTTGAACTCCAGGGATAGTTGGATCCAAGGCCAATTGTGTAGATCTGGACCAATCTCTTTCACAGGTCCAGAAGTGGGATCAGATTCTGTGATCTTGACTTGGAGGTCTGGCTCCATTTCTTGCTGGAACTCACTAGCACCACTTTCCCAGGTGATGCAGGCAGCATCCGGTATATTGCCAGAATATTAACCTGGGGTATCACTTCCCCTCAACCTGCAGTCAGTCTCAACATTGCCAATAGCATCCCTGCCTACTGCTGCAGAAACAGCTAGTGCTCTCCTGTGTGGGCAGCACAGTGTTTGGTCTCATCCTGGGAAGAATATCCTTAGAATTTATTTGGAACATTCTTCTAATTCTTCCGTCCCCTCAGCTTCCCAGACCACCCATCCTCCTTTCTTTGATTCTTAACCACAGTCAGTATTTGCTCCCTAAATGGAAGTGTCAAATATTTAGAGACATTTTCATGAAAAAATAAAGTTTGAAATCATCAAATTGTCTCACTTCATCTTTTCTTAAACAAAATCTTTGTATTTTTAACAATGTCTGGGTACTGGTTCAGAAGTAGAATTATCTTAATTTATGTGGACGTGAACAAAGTTATTTTGGAAAACACTCATATTCTGGAACAGAAGTATCTATGGATGGAATTAATTAGGAATGACAGTTTCACTTTTATGTTTTACCTTAGTCTGATCCATACTAACTTCATTGTCATGAGGGTAAGCAAAGCCTTTCCCCGGCATTTTTAAAGCTGAAAGCACCTTTATTTCCATAGGCATCTGCACTGGCTAAATAGATCAGTGCTAAGTCTCACCTTTAACAGAGGTAGTAAAGGTGTGCATGAAGGAATGCCTCCATTTGGGTAGTTGATTTGAAATGTGATAACTGAAGGTTCAGTACAGAATTAAAGGAGGCAAACCTAGCAGTACCCAAGTAGTGTGGCAGTTCAGGGTCCCCCAGCCATTGCCCTTTACTCTTTCCACCATGTCCACTGTGACTTGAAGGCCCAGCACTCTGGTCTTTGATATGTATAGACACAGATAGCGACAAGGGAGAGGCAGTTCCACCTTGGCTGAGTGAAATGCTTCTCCTCCTAGCAAGCATAATTTTCTCTTTGTGTAACTAAAACTATCCATGTATGGCCTAGGATACCTAGGCAGCAGCAAATATTTTCTGCAAATGTGAAATCCAAATGCTTGTTTCCAGATCAGGTTCAGTGAAAGGAATATCCTTTTTTTTCCTAGTTGCAGTTAGCGCTTTTAGATGTCTTTTCTATCCACGCTCATCTTCCAAATGCTAAAGCCTGCCTTGCCCCATGGTGGATCAGATCTCTGTGATGACTGATAATTAAAGTGTTTATTTTTAAAAGGCTTGCTTTTATTTTTAAAAAGGTTTGCTTTTCCAATTTGGATTTTAAATGCATACATATATTCTTATGAAAGGCCAGGTGTTGCTGTTTTGTAAGCACCTGCAGCAGTCTGCTCCTATGGCACTTCTATGCTGAAAGTTTGGCTGCATTTCACATGGCCTGGTGGATGAAACAGTAACTGCAGCCAGCGGACCTGAAGCTGTAGTCTGGGCTCTGCTTCTGAGTGATAATCATATCCACCATCCGTGCTTGGAGCTCCATACTAAAAAAGAAAAAAAGGGTACAGACTTCATTTGTAAAGCATTTTTACTCAACTGAAGAAAACCAATATGTGAAACTGTGGTATTCTCAAATATGATGGAGCTGTTTAATAGGAATGGCATTATCAGGATTAGTAGGAAGTGGTAGCTACTGGCAGCTTCCTATTGCAGTTTTCCCTGTTTTGTTTTAGCTGTGTGTTCCAAAAACACTTAAAAACATACTAAGCAGAAGAGATTCAGGTTTTAGACAGAGGTGAGGATTTGAAGCTCTGTTGTCCCGTGGTTGCTGATGTGTTTTTCTCTGAGTACTTTAAAAACTGTCAGGGCAGTGGTGGGCAGTGGGGAGCTGGTGACAGAATCTGTTTAGACTTCCAACAGTCGAAACCTCTGCAAAGATTAACAAAGTTGTACAGCTGGAGACTTGGAATGAGAGAGAGATATCGCCATACTTCAAAAGCTGGATAGGAAATGGAAAGGGAAGAACAGGTGCATCTTCATCATGGGATCTGACAACTCAACCCCAACTTCAAGCAAAGGAGAGAGGAAAGGAAAAACAAGTTCTTGGAGTAGGAGAGAAAAGAAAATCTGATATCCCAGCCTAACAGATGGGCTAGGAAATGCCAGATACCCTAGCCTAGGGGAGGAGATGTGACCCACAAACCGGGCAGCCATGTCAAATGGCAATAAAGGGCCTGGAGGAAATACAGCCTCCTCCATTTTTTTTTCTGAATGATTCACCGGGACCCTTGAGAGCCTTGGCCCATCAGACACAAGTGGGTGTTGACTGGGGAGAGTATCAGGCAGGAGGGTTCAGTGAGAGGATCAGAGGTTATGTTTGATTGCATGAGGATGCAGAGCTCTATTGTCAGTGCTATGTGGTCACTGTGCGCTTGCCTGGATTGTATTACATTCCCGATCCACGTTGGCTGAGGAACCACAGCACCACTGTACCTTAAGCAGTATCATGGGCATATCCCGTCCACTGCTATATTGCCTGAGGTCCATTTATATCTTGACAAAATGGGAGATTTCCCTTGTTCCCAGGTAGACCCTCCTGCCCAGTGCAAACGTGGCTGAACAGCTTCCCTCCATGTGCCTACTTTGTCTCTGTCCTAAGAAGGACCTTGATACACCCCCAATGAAAGGCATCAAGCTTTGGGGTAGTGTGGGTTTCTAAATTTCCTTCCTTCTTCTCTATTGCAGCAACACAGATGTTCACACTGTGGCGTCCCTCCTGAAGCTTTACCTTCGAGAGCTGCCAGAGCCTGTCATACCCTTTGCCAAATATGAAGACTTTCTTTCTTGCGGACAGCTACTCTCAAAAGATGAGGGAGAGGTCAGTGATGCTTCTAATCTGCCTCCTACCTCGAAGGTTGTTCCCAAGACTCAATGTAGTACAGTTTTCTTCTCATCACTCTTCAGTTCTGATTTAAAACAATGAAGTTCCTCAAAATCTTTCCCTGAATTTTCCTGAAGCTGTGAATTGGGCATTAATATCACAGGCTCCTGCTTGAAGCAGGAGCTTTTTTGAAGTCACTCTTGTAGCCTGGTGCTTCTTTCTTCCGAACAAAGCTGTTCTGTAGCATAATCAGCAAGAGATGCAAGGTAGGAGATCTGGGTTCCTTTCCCAGGACTGCTGTTGACTCAAGCTGTATGAAGTTACTCCCTTTTTCTGTATTTTCAGTTTCATATATCAGAACAGCATGTTCTGCTTCCCAGAGTTTTTGGTGGCTGAGACGTTGATCAGTGCAATGGTTTTTGTATTTCTGAGAGGAACGGTACTACAAAAAGGCAGGGTAGGATATTATCCCAAAATGGGGCAAATAATGCTATGAATACTTCGCCAGAACCTTCTTATGATGTTCCTCTCTTTGGTTTCCAGGCAAGGGAAGGGGCTGACAAAAACGTCCAAGTCTGTGGCAATCATGGAAATTTTGATTCACTGCTTGGGAGGAGCAGGGTAATTTACAATATGATTGATTGATCTGTTTCACCCATATTGTTCCTCTTGCGGTGATGCCTGAGCCCTTTGCTGACTGCAAAGGCACGTTGGATCTGGTCTAATGCAGGTGGAACTGTGCCACCCACCTTCTAAAACAGAGGTTTAAAGAAGCTGCAAGGGCTGTTACTAGTGTCAGCTAAAGAAGCAAAGGCATGAGGGCTTATAAGTTGCAGTCCACAGTTCTGTCCCTTTTCTGTGTGTGGCCTCCATTGCGTGCTCACATCTTTGTGCCTGGTGGGGATTGTAAAAACTGTTCTTTATTGGGACCCTGGGGTTCACCTTTAGTTCAAGTGGCAGAAGGCTCTGGGGAGATTCAGTCCTTCATGATGCCCACAGGAAGATGATTGTTTGTATGCATCAAATGTAGCATATCTGGTAATGTCAGTTTTTTACAGATAAAAGGCAAGTTTGCTACTATCTGTACTTACATGATGTATTCTCTAGCCAACTATGAGGAAGCAAATTTCTGTCCATGACACAACATATTACCACACATGGACATGCATTTGCATCCTGGACACAGCCACATCAGTGTGTCAGTGCACTAGTGTTATCTTTTACTAGGTACAGGTATGTGTCTACTACCTCCAAACTCACTCATTTCTGTCTTATCCTCAGTCAACTTGGGCATCTCTGCAGGGTGCTGCATTACAGACAGCACAATGGCTGATTTCACAAGAAAGAGCAGCATTTCTAAGGCTGGTGGAGCTGGTTTCATTTTGGTCATGAGATGTGGAGACTGGGAAGTTTTGAATCCATTAAGCACTATTGCACAAGAGTAGAGGCACTGCCAAGTTGGGCAAACATAATTGTATATCACTGCTCAGCTTATTAACTTCGTAGTCTGCCTGATTTTGCCTGCACAGGCTGCAGTGGTTTGGGAAGCAACATCTGTGTTGGTTTTGTGGGAGCAAGGCCAGACTCAAATGACTTATAGTGCAGTATTCTCTTTGGATTAGAAAGGTGATGAAGAGCACTAGATAGCCAAAATGAAAGCTTACAAAATACAGTTCAGCTTATAGCACAAAGTTGTCTTGTTAGGCTGCTGTTGTAAACGTAACCATTTTTTTTTTTGTAAGGAAAATCTGGAACCTCAACAAGACCTGTTTACTTTTTCAGAAAGGAAGGTGGAGTGCACACACCAAGGGTGGAGAGGCTGTACGTGCACAGTAGCATGTGGAGCAGAACGTAGCACAGTCATACCTAGCCTGTAGAGCCTGACTCGCCTCCCACATGGAAAATCCCCTGCTCAAAAATGAGGTTTCATTGAAACCATAATTTTTTACCACAAAATGATAAGCAGGGAATTTTAAAATCAAACATTTCATTTTGAAAAAGTATTTGGAAACAAAATACAATTTATTGTTTTAATTTGACATACTATTTTGTTTTCTTTTTTCACTTGGAAGTTTTGAATGAGACTTTTGAACTCAAAATGTAATTTAGTTTTGTACACCCACTCCCCAATAAAAAAAATTACTTCAGGCAAAATAGCCGTTCAGATAAAATTGTTGGCACCTCATGCTGCTACATTGTGACCACAGATAGGAATTATTATGATGTTAGCTTGGCCTAATCTCCATCTGCAGCAAAAAATACTCCAGCACTGCCCTAAGCTTTCCATTTTTCATTCAGATTGCTGTTCATCTTCATTCTATGCCCAACTAATCTCTGGTGTTGGAATGCAAACAGAAACATAACAAAGACCTTGGGTTGTGCTGAGGCCTCCATGTATGTCAGCAGGACTGCAGTGTTAAAAAAAATTTTGATTCTTATGCCAACTGGTTGGGAGGAGGGATTGAAAATGAAAAACAATTTTAAAGTAAAAATGAATGAAAGATCTTAAAATCTCTAAAACCTCATTTGAGTCTGAGCTGACTTGACATGATACTATTTTAGCCTTCACTGCTGCCTGTACTCTAGAGATGCACACAGCAGTTCAGTGGGCTAAGCACGTGCCTTTGAGTTTTTAAAGAGGGGTCTGAATTTGGGTAAACATCTGAAGTGTTGCTAGTTTTCCAGCCCAACTAGAAGCTCCTAACTGGTGCTGATCTGTTACACACATTGCAAAATCCTTGGGTTTAGGATCGTTCCTTGGAAAGCATGTATCTGTGGTAAATTAGACATGCAGCGTTTTCAAGGAGGTAAGAGTTATTACTGCAAAATACCATGATGAATGACAGTGCAGTGCCTCTATGGCTTGCTAGACTGCAGCCATAAGCACGATCAGTGCTATTTGTTAATAACACAGCAGTTTCTAGCTTGCATTTTCCTTTACAACTTCGCTGTGGTGTTACTAGGCTCAGCCTTCTGCCATCTGTTGGTCAGGTGGTTGGTGGGTGCAAACCGGGCGGAGGTGATAAATGCTGCAGCAGGAGAGAAAGCTTTTTTTAACCTGGCAAGTGATTGTACCTCGATGAATATGAAGATACTCTTTGTGTAATACCATGTTTGTGATTCCTCGTGACAGAGCATGGATGATAATTTTTTAAAAACTTTTTTTCTTTCAGGTAGCATCCTGTACCTTTAGGTCATGTTTCCAGCTGTTCACAACTGCTTGCAGTTTCTGTTCCAAAGCCCCCTCTTGCATCCAGTGGAGCCATGGTATTTTAATTCAGAGCACTTGAAATGCAGTGCCAAATACCATCCTGATTTCTGTATTTGAAATAAATTGGATTACAGAGCAAAATTCAAGAGGGAATTAGGTCTGTTAGCTCAACTATTTCTAGTTCAAACTCCTCACTTGAAAGCTGGATGACCCGAACAACTGACCTTAACCTTTACATCAGCAGCAACTGTCCTTGATTCAAATGTTTTCAGAAGTTTAAAAAAGAGAATTGAGAATTTCAAAAGTGACTGGTCTTTTATTCGTGTCTCCATTGTTGTCTCTGTTAAACCAACATAATTTTTAAGCTAAGGAATTAAAAAGGACTTATTGCTTTTAAGAATTCTTTTTTTAAGTTTCAGGTTTTTATTAGAGGACTTCTTTTGTGCTGAGACATATAGAATAAAAAATTGTCTATACATTCAGGACATTAAGGATGGAGGCAGGAATACAGACTGCTGTCTGGATCTCTCTGACTTGTCTTGACCAGAGAAATCAGGAAGATCTTGCAAGAGGCTGGCCAACAGAATTCCCTCCCTAACAGTCCTTAATAAATCAAGGACAGTTTGGAAAGAATGTTCGAATGCACTTCTTCAGCTTGGAACCAGCTGCTTGTGGAATTTCTCTGTCATTAGTTAGCAGTCCTACATCATTAGTTAACAGCTATCACTCTTCCCAAATGTGCTTGTATATCTATTTTCCCCACAAAAAATTGTTGTCTCAAAAAATAAGAAAATCTTCAGGGCGACTGCAGCATTGAAAGGAACAAGCAAATGATGCTTGGGACTGTGGAAGGACAATAAACTTAAATCATCTAACTAAATTAGATGATTTAAGTAGCTTCAGGGTTTTAAGTCATTCCTGAAGCAGAGGTCTCATCTTAGTTTCTTACTTTTTAATATAAAGACAGAAATTTTATGAGGAAGTATGTCACAGCTCAGACTGACTGCAAATGGAAGTAATGAAAAAGAAGGTAGTTGAATTGGAATGTCATCTAGCATTTTCCAAGGAAAAAAACTCTCCTCTCTTCGGTTGAGCATTTCTGCAATGTATTTATACTACAGTCAGTGCCTCTAAGTTTCAAATAGGCCAGGTGCTGAAAAGGCACATTTGCTGGTACTTTTACACCAATGCCAGTGGGCAGACTTTGAAGACTAGCAGGTCTCACTAATTGAAGGCTTCTGTGTCAACCATTAAAGCTGACAGGAGGATTTTCACTGATTTTGAGAACTGAATCCAGTTCTGGGCATTGGTTGTTTGGTAAGGCGCAACACACTGGATGACACCTTTTTTAAGGCAAAGCCTCCTTGTTATATCATCTGTTGTTCACAGTTTTGACTCTGGAGAGAGAACTTTTTAGCACTGAAGGAAAGTCACATCTGCTTTGCATCACTTAAATTAATAGCTCTCCTTGTTTTTCCTGTCCCTCAGGGTACCCAGGAACTGGTTAAACAGGTGAAGAATTTGCCTCAAGCCAACTACAACCTCCTCAAATACATATGCAAGTAAGTGAAATTAATTACACTTGGAAAAGTCACTAAGTTTTGTGAGGCTCGGTCTTATGTGCAAATAATTTACTCTGAAAGTATGGATATTCAAACGTCACTTACATGTAAGTTACTGCTCTTATAAAGCATGTGGAGGTGAATGTGCAGCCTGCCTGAAGGAAGCTCTTGGTTTATCCAAGAGCATCAGCCAAGCAAATTGCTGTCACCCACAGCCTTGGCAGCAGGCATGAATAAAACTAACATATAATATAGCTTATTTCAGAAGCACTTAAAGACCAGTAAAGAAAAGGCATTTTTTCCAAGTACTGCACACTTGGAAGATTTATGACACAAGCTGAATAGCAGATGCAGTCAGAATAGCCAGTCTGGCCTCAGCTCTGGTTTGGAAGTGTGGTTGAGAGAGGCTCCTCTTGGAGTACCAGGGACTCCGCTTTAAAAAAAATATATTTTGCCTCACTATGTCCTTCTATAGCCACTTGTTTTAACATCTGAGCATCTCAAAACACGAATGGCTGAGGCAGGGGAGTATAGTTATACATGTTTCTAAGTGAAGAACTGAGGAAAGGAAAGGCAAGTAGAATTTGCTTCTGACTAGTGAAGAAAACTGAGAGTTTCTGGGTCTCAGCACAGTGTCCACCACAGGACAAAGCCACAGAAAAAATGGGAGTGCCTAGAAAAGTCGTGCTGCAAGTAGAAACATTCAAAAATTGGCCAAGTAGTGCAGAATGACAAGGAAACTTTTTTCCCTACCAAAACCCATCCAAAAATTAACAACAGTTTAGGAAACAGAGTACAGACAGAGTGAGACTGTTCACTTTTGAGGCCACTGAGTCCTCTTTCCTGCTATGGTAGGTTTGCATGTCATACAGTCCTTTTTACAACTTGGCTAATTAGGTACAAGCTATTTAGGTGTTAGTTACAGCCTTTCACTTGCTATGACTCCTGTTGGGAGGCTGTTCCAAATTACAGAACATTAACAGTTGGAAACTTTCTGCTGATTTCCAGCTTATACGTATGGATAGCTAGTCTGTCTGGATTTCTTCATGTGCTATCTTTGGCTGGCATAGTCTTTTTCTTGTGTTGATGTTTGCCCAGCTGATGCATTCACAAGATGCATTTGGGCTACGTCTGTATCTTGTTAGATTCAAGCAACAAAGCTCTTTCCAGAGGCTGCTAGATGAGTGAAATGCCTTTTTGCTTCTGTTCTATCTGTAAGCAAAAACTGGCAGAAGTCAATCTGTTTAATTGGAGAATTCCTATAAAAATGTGAAAATCTGTCCTTTCATACCCAGTAGAAGGGTGGATCCCTGGTAGGCTGGTACTTTTGGCAGAAACCATCCTGAACTCTCTCATTCATACACTAGGAGGGATCTGGGGTTATTACTGAGTATCTAAGCTGCGTTAGTCAGTGCACTTCAGGTGTATCAGGGTTGTATAACCACAGGACAAAACTGTTCCTGCCCCAGAACACCTACAGTCTGAGAAGTGACTTATTATTCCTCTCCTCCTTTGATTTTTCTGGGGGGGCTTTTCAAGGTTCCTTGATGAAGTTCAGGCTCACTCCAGCATTAACAAGATGAGTGTCCAGAACCTGGCTACAGTATTTGGACCAAATATATTACGGCCCAAAATGGAAGATCCAGTGACCATGATGGAAGGTGGGTACTACTCTTGTGAGATAGCACAATACCTGTGTTTTGGAGCTATAAGGCGATGCTGAAAGTCATACATTTACTGGTAGCTGTATTACTTGACTGCACAGTCAGCAACAAGTTAAGCAATCCTTTTCATCAGTGCCTGTGAGGGGATGTACTGGTTGGCCTCTGTTAGCCCACTCACCCCTGGCTTCGGAGTGTCTCTCTCCACCACATGGAGATACCTCTGCCCTGTTGTAAGCTGTTATGTGAAACTCTTTTTGAACCCACTGCTAAAATGAAAGCTCAAATGTTCTTCAGAAGGACCATGTTTAAGTACCAAACTGCTATCGTTTAGTATTGGTGCATTTCTGTGGTTAGACAGCTCCTGTAAAGGACATCTAGTCCACAATGAAAGAGGTACTGTAGTTTTTGCTGTGCCACAGTGGCTATAACTAGGTGTCTTAGAAGTGTTGTCTTCTAAGCAGGCTGTGTATGGGTCAGAACTTCACAGAACTCAAGGAATAAGTTGAAAATGACTGTTAATTTTGGATGTAAAAATCTGAAGCTTGAAAATTATCTACCTCCCATATGGGTCACAAAATGCCCAGGGCGTGATCTCTGGCTGGTTGACACTAGGGCTGGGATACAGCGCCTCTCCTAGGTGGCACTGGAGCACAGCTACTGTGGTGAAAGTTTCAGCAGTGTCTTTGCTGGGATCTTGGCAAGCCTGCAAAAAGAATTGATGGATTCATCCAGCATTAGGCACAGATGGAGATGCTGTGCCCAGAATGTCTGAATTCAGCCCCAGCACTGCTCCCTAGCTGTAGAGAACAGCTGACCTGGTGTTCTGCATGATGGAAATCCTTCACGGAATGCCAGCATTATCATGCCTTAGCAGCAGTAGTGCCTTTAGCTCTGCACAGGTGACCTCTGAAAGGCACTGCAGATGTGTGCCCCACAGATGGCAACTCACTTTAAGGTAACAGACCAACTTGAGAGCATGGCCTGACATACTGTAGTTGTTCAGGGGCTTGAAGCCTGCCACAGGGATGTGGGGCATATTATTAAGGGTAGCTTTGAGACCCCCTCAAAGGGAAAAAGGTACAAAAAGGTGGGAAGGAGAAAAAGGGAGTGCAGGAGCAGATGCTGGGTTATTCAGCATTACAAAGGTGGGGATAGCTGAAACCTCAATCTGTTGTGTGATGCTGTGACTTCCCCTAGTGGCCAGCTGGCCAGCCTTGATAAGGCTCTTGCAGACTGGCCGACTTGGCTCAGTTGGTACCCATGACAAGTTTGGGTTCAGTTCACCTCAGGCATTTCATTAGGAAGTCCAGGTGATGGCAGAGGTGCTTGTACTGTGTGTAGGTGCACAGGTGCCAGATGCTCTGGTCTCATGGTCTCATCATCATCATATGAACATATGACAGTGATGTGACCTGGAATTCTGTATTAGCACAGACCTGAATTTGAGAAAAATGGGGATCCAGTAACTGGATTTTTAGACTTAAACATTATGCTCATAAGCAACAGCACTGGAAATGTTTTCTTTTATTGTTAGTTGAGGATAGAAGATTGGTTAAATAGAAATAATGGAGAAGTGGAAAGACTCTCAATACATTTTTTTTTTTTAGCTTCAGGGTAATACAGGTCTGCTAAATCAACTGAAAAAGAAAAATACTGCTGCCAGTTCTTAACAAAAGCACTTTAATTGTCTCTCTTCAAACTTAAACCATGAATTTCAAATAGAAATATCTGAAGTTTGACAGCTAAATTGTTAGGAATACCCTTATCTCCAGAGAGGTTTATTTTTCTCCCTGCACTCACAGACATAAAATAGAAGTTGTAGGTGAGCTCAGTACATCTTGCTACCAGACCGAAACCTCATTATTAAATTCAGGCTCTTACTTGAACCCCTGAATATGTTAGTCTTATTCTCTATTTCAGACAATGATTAAAGATAGAATTAATTACATATTTGCTCTTTTTAAGGTTTTCCTCTTTTTGTAGGAAGTGCTTTGTACTAGGTTTGGTAAGTGGTGTTCTCTATCAGTTGATAATAGACTGCTCCTCTACTGGAAAACAATGACAATTCATTTCTGTGGATTGAAATAATTGCAAATACTTTCTGTACTTGCTGCACAACGTCTGCAGGTGCATGTATCATACAGATGTCATACTTTCTGCAAGTTTCTGTGTACACTAAGTGCAGCAGAAGGCCTGAGCTTAAATTTCTGGTTCTTCAATAAACACTAGCTCTGGGCCTGTTAAGACTATGAAACTGGGTGTAATGTAGTTGTGGAAACCTGCTGGTTTTGGAAGCTGGACAGAGAGGTGCTCCATCCCAGCAAATAGGTTAGTGTTCAGGATCTGGCATGCATCTCTGCACAGGTCTATGCTGTCCTGCATGGATGTACACACTGGGATTGATGCTGGCTCTGATCTCCATGCCGTGGTCTGGTACAAACATGCCCTGTTTTCCAGGTGTCCTCCTCCTCCTCTGTCATCCTCAAAGGTGTCCTTAAGCAGGCCAATTTATTTATCATTGCTAGGGATCATTTGTACTCTACTAGTCAGCTACATTCATGAGTCAGACTGACACCTGCATCCTTCACAGTCCGCATTTCCAGCAAAGGGAACAATCTTGTCTCTTGCAGTCCTGTACAGAAAGGCCGAGAGCCGTTGTTTCTGCAGACCCATCGCAGTGCCAGGTGGCCAAGGGCCTGCCTCACAAGGAGGTCACAGGGCATCTCACAGACAGGAAGGAGGTGAGTGTCTGAGGTCTTCCATGTCTCATCAACTGCTTGCCTTTGTTTCCTCCCCACAGGCACCTCACTAGTTCAGCACCTGATGACAGTGCTGATAAGTGAACAGGGGCGAATCTTTGCTGTTCCTCAGGCAGATGTGCCGGGGAACCAGCTGGAAATCAGACCTGTGCATCAGCGCAGTACTGTGGAGTGGATCTCTGAGGAGGACGGGGAGGACAGCAGGTCGGAGAACAGTGTTCCCAGCCCTGCCGATTTGCCTTCTAGCAATGCTGTGGCACTAGAGGCCACTCCTGGACCTGCGGTGAAAAGCACTCCTTCAGAGCACAGTGGCAAATTGACTCAACCTGCCACCAGCCCCAACAAAAGAGTGCAGACACTGCCTCCGTGGAAATACTCATTCCGCCAGCAGGGAGCAAGGTCTGTGAGTCCAAAGCTGGGGAGTTCATCCTTAGATATCCCCAACCTGTCCTCCAGTGGGAACTGGTTGATGAATGGACTGTACTCCCTCCGAGGCCATCGCCGGACAGCCTCTGGGGAACGAGTTAAAGACTCATGTTCTTCCCAGAGACTCTCTACTTACGACAACGTCCCTTCATCCAGCCTCTCCCTTAGCACACACAGTATGGCCAGCACCACGTGGTCTACATCATCATGTGAAATCTCTGTGGTGGACTCCGTCAGCAGCTGCCCAGCCTGCCGGGCCAGTGACTCTTCTGCTTTAAGCTCGCTCAAAACCGAGTGGATAACTCAGGGCTCACTGTCTCAGAGTGAGGTCAAGACTGCAGATCTGGAGAATAGCATCGACAGGTTTGAAGCATGTAGCAGCAGCAGCAGTGAACAGAGCAACCCGGCTGCAGCTTCCAGAGACTCTGTCAAATGCTCTAGGGCCTTACAGAGCTTGGTGGTGGAGCTAAAGACAGAACTGAGCAAACAGAGGACTGAGTATGAGACTAGTATCAAAAGGTAATATGTCATCTGCCAGCATTACCCCTGTTCAAACATGGGTGTGGGCTACCAAGTGTATGAGGTTCTTAGACCTGGAGCTTGGGTTTGGGAGACAGATTTGGTTCTGCTCTTTCCTCACTGTTCTCTGAATCCAACTTTTCTCTCTCTGATCTGAGAGGATAAAAAAAAAAATGGGATTTCTGTCACACAGGGAATTCCAGTATTTCACATTCTGTTTTCACTAGAAATCAGAACTGTACAGGTAATGCGAAAGTCTGCTCTTTGACAGTGTCCTTCCAGAAATAGCAAAGCAAACATCTTGGAGGGAGGGATTTGGACCCCAGGTGGTTAGGCCTCAACAAGGAACGCTGTCGCAGGTGCTGAGATTTGTACCAAATCAGTCTGAAATTGAGGGCTGCTTGCTGCTTTTCCCTACGGAAACATTCTTCAGGAAACTGATCTTGACTATTCTCTGGGTTGTTTTGGGTATTTTTGTTTGTTTTTTGTTTGTTTTGGTGGTTTTGTTTTTCTTTTTGTGGTGGTGGTAGTGTTGGGACTATATCTTTTTTAAGCAGCCCTTTTGTGCTGAACTTTTCTAGAAACCGCGCTTTTGATTTTTGATGTTCTTGTAGTGGTCCTTTGCTCATGTGGCCAGCCACTGACTCAAAGTGGTAGCAAGGTGCTGGTTGTACAGCAGATGTGTGAACTGTGCAGTTCTTTGCCCAACTGGTACTGCTGGTGCTGTACTTTAGATCTGTGCTCAGAAAAATTCCTTCCAGTTTTCAGGAGAGAGGTGTGTGACAGCAAGGGCCGTAGGAAGTATAACATATCAATAACTAGGAACTCATATTTATTCATTTGTGTGAGTTAGTATATTAGGTTTTATGAATGTAAGTAAGTGCTTAATAGAATGACTTGCAGGCAAGTATCAGGGAACTATGCACATGAAATATTGTTGCTTAAAGGAGTTAGGTATGTTTTAAATATACAGCCATATGTGAAATTGCACACCATGTCATCATACACAAGAATCACCACTGGCCTGGGCTCTGCAGCACTGGTACTTTGCACTGAAGGAGGGCTGCAGTCCCAGTTCTTACAAATAGTTGAGCTGTCAGCTTTTTGTGTGTCAAGGTGTTAATGCTATATTCCTTCAATTATTAATTCTGGTAGCATTTACCTGTCTCAGTTTCCAGTCAGTCTCCCAAACATGGTACCAAAAACACATATGACTGTTTGTAGGGCTTGTATAGCACAGCTTAAGACTACGTTGCCTCTTTCTTCTTCTTGAAGTAATTTCTCAAAAATGTATCTGAACTGTGATCGCTTCCAGTGGGCCAGCTGTTAAGGCAGGACTTTCACTTGCTACTCCCTGCTTTATTTTATGATTTCCTATGGTGGTGGCTTGCCAGCCGCTGCAGCTTTTCTGCCTTTTGCATTGTACTGCCTTGGTATGTGAAGCTGGAAGGAGAATCAGGCCACATAGCAGTTTCAGTTCCCACCTAACATCACAAAGTGGGAGAAAAGCTTACCCCCGCCTTGTTGCATTCCAGGTGGAAGAGCTGATGAGAACACCATCAGTCACTAGCATGGTGTGTTGGAAAAGGTCTGTGAATGAGGATGATAGTTTTTGGTTGCTGGTTTGTTTTGGGGTTTTTTTTTTTGATGCCCTACTGATGCAAAATGGGAGGGAAATAAATGAGAGTATGTGTTTTGCATTTAATTATGCAGAGCTGCCCTGGCAAGCCTTGTTGCAGGGATACAGAGTAATAAACAGAAAGGAGACCAGGCTGCAGAACTTGGAAATGTGTATCTGCACATTTTTACCTGCTGCCTGGGGGAAGAGATGGCTTTCCACCTCTTATCAGTAAAACTGTTCCAATGGGCCTTCCACTGTTGACATCAGGGACATTCAGGAAGACATTCATTCCAGTTGTTGAGTGGCTTCAGCTCTAACAAACACCTGCCTTTCCCCGTCACCTGGACAGAGACAGAGAGCACTGTGGCTAGAAGGGAGGACTATACATTGGCCAGGTCTCACAGGGCAAAGTAGCTAAGAGGAAAATGCCTAATGAACTAAGTTTCATAAAACCAGGCAAGATGCAATCACTGCTTTTTTTTTTTGTATCAAACAGGATGACTCCAGCTGTTCAGGATTAGAGCCTGAAGGATCTTGCTGTCAAGACTAAGAATTTCAAGCCAAGTTTTTCAGCTCTCAAAAATTTTGTAATGTTTTTACTACATCTGCAGCAATTTACATGTGCTAAAATATGTTCCTTTTGAGACTGCCTGAAAGTCTGCTCCTGTGGAAAGACAGGTGCTAACTAGCAAAAAAAGGGAGGCCGCTTAGCAGGAAAACTTTGGGCTGCCTCACTAGCTTTATTTTATTGAAGATAATTTAGTCCCCAAAAGTAATAATTAGTTCCTTTACAATTGTACATGTGCTTGTGTGGTTTGCAGAACTCAGTGTGTGTAGTAGGGCATGTTTTAATGAAGGAATATGAGCTTTTTGTTGGCACATACATAAGTAAGTGGAGGGAAAGCAGAATCAGTACCTGCCTGGGGCAGAGGTAAGGAACACTTGCTGATGGAAAAGCTGTTATTTATCATCATCAGCTGCCCATTTTTCTCTCTCTTAGTCAGAGGGAGGCAAGTTTTATGGCCTTCCTGTAACCAGTCTGTTCCAGAGCATTTCTCCCTCAAGGTTAGTATAATTATCAGGCATTCTCTGTTGAGTTTCAGTACTTCACGTTTACCACCTGGGACACTTAAGAAACTGGAAGTGTCTTGGAGAGGACTATTCTGTTATGTATGTACAACCACAGTAAGTACTGTGACCCTCTGTAATTCAGAACATGAACAGCTAGTCTAGGCTGCTGTAGCTGACCCCTACACTTTGCAGTGGAAAAATGCAATTGGTAGCTCAGAGCTGCAGGATGTGACAAACATGTTATAAAGGAGTGTGCGTGTGTGGGGAAGCATCCAAGCTTCAGAAGAGTCCTCTTCATTATAGAAGACAGTTATCTGGGTGATAAAAGTCTCCCTTCACTGAGATGGGCAGGGTTTTTTTTTCAGACATAGTACACATTTCTGTTCACTTACCAGTGCAGCTGTTGGTCTGCTGGACTTGGTGATCAGCACGCCTGTGTGTGACTTTCTAATCTGTTGTGAAAGCTGTGACAATGATAATATTGCGATCCTTAGCTGTATGTGAGGGAACAGTTTAAGGGGATGCACTGCATTGCCTGCATAATTGTCTCTGGGTGGCCATAAAATGGGATTCGGACCCTTTTGGGACTGTCATAAAAGTCCCTTTTTTGTTGTAGTTGGGGAGTCTGTAGTATGCCCTTCTAATTTACCCTGTCTAAAAATGAAAATGAAATGTTAGTTTTTCTAAAATCTTGTACAGTATCCCCCACCCCAATGTCAGTGACAACCTTTACAGAAAATAAAATGGGAGGTGAGGAAGGACTGTGACCTCATTCCTACCTGACCTCCAAGGATGTTCCTCTGTACTGGATATCCGTATAGGGAAACAAAGGATCAGGATGAAAACACAGGTTAAAAGATTATTTTGGAATTATATATTTGAACTCAGCCTAACTGAAGAGTTAATACATCTCCTCAGACATTCAGTCTGTTGCTTAGACGTAGGCATTATTTTATAAGACTTGAGCATATTTTCTCAAGATACAAATAGAGGAGGCTCCAGCTTTCAGGGAGTCTCTGCCCTTAAACTCAACATTAATAAAATGGCAATTAGTGCCCTGCTTTAAAACTTCCTCTTAGAATGAATATATTTTGCCTCTAAGTGGAACAACTTATATTTTAGCTATCAGCAGTATTTATCCAGCCAGTTAAAAAAACAACTTTTTTTTCTTCTCCCTCTCTCTCTCTCCTTCGGTTTAAGAATTGAAGAAACAAGTGCAGACCTGAGGAAACAAGTGGTTAAGTTAGAAGAAGAACTGGACCAAGAACGAAAGAAATACACGATGCTGGAGATAAAGCTGAGGAATTCTGAACGTGCTCGTGAAGATGCTGAGAAGAGAAATCACCTCCTGCAGAAGGAAATGGAAGAGTTTTTTTCAACATTAGGATGTTTAACTGTTGGGAGTCGAAGTGCTAAAGTCCCTAAGTAGAACAAGCTGATGTACAGCATAGAAAATTCTATTTCTGGCAAAAACCAGTGAAAAATGCACATTTTGTTCTGGTATACTCATGCATCATGAGTAATTCTACAGTGATTGTGCTCTCAGTGACACTTGCTCTGTTGTCGTTACATGTGCTGTAGTATTTGGGCCAGCTGGGAAAGACTGCTAAACATAATGCTTCAAAGTTTAGATGTCAGATTGCCAAGAAAGAGTGGGCATCCTTCTTATCCACAAATGAAAAGATACTGTTCTCCATAGCTGTACTGCTGCCATCTTTGGACTTACTGCTCCATCCTTTTGCTGGTCAAGGACAGTGGAAAGTCCTGCAAGGTGGGTGGGATGGCCAGAACCGATGGACAGGCTGAGCCTGGAGCTGATGGCCTCCTACACTTGTGCTTGGGAAGGTGGCAGTTCCAGTATGTCACCACATTCAATGTGGGTTAGCATATTGATTTAATGAGGTGTTTTTTCTCCCCACTCCCTACATAAAGTTTGTTCAAATTTCTCATTCCTTAAAGTGGCATTATTTTATAAACAAACTGAAAATACAAAAATCTTGACAATTCACTAAAATTGTCACCTACCAACTGAACAGTTCCAGTGTTTCACAAAAATGCAACTTATTAAACTGTATGTGATTACTAATCAGATTTGCCACACAAACTCTATGGAACTTTAAATATGCACATTTTGCCCTAGGTATCTGGGTTTTTTGAGCCAAAAATAGAGTAGTGTTAGCTGCAAGAAAAAAATCTCATGAGTTGATATGTACACTGATCAGACATCAAGGTAGGAGAAGAAAGATTCTTATCATCAAAACACACCAACTGCTGAGGGTTTTTTAATCTATAAAAATTAATAGCAAAACCTATGGTAAGAGAAATTAGTGCAATTGGGGGGGTGGTGGAATCTGTCTTTAACCTTCCCCGGACAATTTACACTTAGCTGCCTTGTAACATTTCTCGTAACACCAGTTGATTTTTTTTTTTTGTTGTTGTTAGTTCACAGGGAGATGAGGGGACAGGAGGAGTATTGCAAACGACCCAGCAGCCTAAATTCATTACTTGTATTAAAGAAAAATCATTAGAATGAAGTTATAATTTCCAGTAAGTAGCTGCCAGGGCTCACTTTCCTGTCAAGGGACTTCTTTGAGAAGTTCTGCATATTTGTAGCACCCGGAGCCACACGGAGCCTGCACACAGAAAATTGTTTCACCAGATACAGCTTGAACTCCGCTTGCCAGCCTAGTGCTCACAGCACTGTTTGCTTGCTCTTGGCACATATCTTTGACAGCTGAGGCAGCTTAGGAGTCTCGGAGGAAAAAGACTTTTAACAGAAAAGTGCCACGACAACATGAGCTGGCTAAAGGAAAATTACAAACTGTAGTGAAGGTACTTGCTTTATTTAAGTATTTTTAGAAAATAACCTGAATCTGTCCTCTTTTCTTACTCGAGAATAATGTAACTCACTGTCTGGACATAACAGTAGATCATACAACTTTCTCTTTAGCATCTCACAGATATACAAGTGTTTCAGTATTTAAACATCTAGAAGTTAACTTGTTTTTACCTCACTGTAACACTTCTCCTTCCTATAGAAATGTAAACCATTTAAAGTGAGCAAAAAGAAACATTTTAACCTAATCTTTCCTGGTTAAGACAAGTCAAGGGAGGTAGTAAAGTAACCTGTGTGGATAGATTAATTCAGTTATTTCAAAATTTTTTCCCTTCATTCCATAATACCCAGCTGCGTGGGATTCCTGACTACCCCTAGTCCGAGGCACTGTGGCAGGTACCTGAGTGTTCAAGAGGAGCAGCCTGCCACCTGCAGGCACTAGCCTCTGCCCTTTTTTTTTTTTCCATGAACCTCCCCCCCCCCACACACACCTTGTATTATTACCACTAATCAAAACTGATCCTGCAAGGGATATGATGGTCTGTTTAAAACAGCATCATTAAGATGCATAATGTGAGAAGCAACTGTTTGTTGTTAACAATGGTTTTGACCTGGAACAGCATAGTGTGTTAGGTAGCATTAAATACCATGCCAGTTGTCACAAAATAAATCTTAATATTAGAGTGGCCTGAACTGGGTTGTAAGTAATTCTCTGCAATCAGAATATCAGCACTGGTAAAAACAAAGAATTTCTGAGGCATTCAATCCAAGTAGTAGTAGCAATCAGGTTATTTTAATATCCTCTTTCATTCCTACCCACAACATGGTACCTTTCACTATATCCATCCTGACAGCCTACATCCCTTAGACTATTTATATTGCATTATCTCCTATATGTATCAAGTGCAGACTGCTTCCTTTAGTTCTGGCACACTACAAACTTAAGAACTCAGCCATGCTGATTGGGAGCACAGAAAACAAATATTGAAGACAAGCACTAAACAGGACTGCTGGCTAACGCAATGAAATCAAGTGCAGCTGGAATTCTTTAACTATTTAAACCTAAGTAACCACTACATATAGCAGAACTGGGGAACAAACAGACCTATCCCAAATCTTCAGCTCCAGGATAGGATCATCTATCAGCTGTGGAGCACTGGTTAATCTTATCTGGCATCCAGGATAAAAATTCATTCCTCTCTTCAGTTTCACAAATGAAACTGTATCCACTCAAAGCAATGGATGGAACTAACCTTTTTTTTATGGTTGACTGCTGTGCTCCAGAAACAAACATCTCTTCCCCTTGTTCATGAGGAATGAATGTCAGGTCCTGTTCAAGATGATCCGCTGCAGTAAATACAGCCTGCAAGAAGCTGAAAACTACTCAGTTCATGCTAAAACACACCACAGTAGCACGTTAACTCTAAAGCACAGCAAGAGGAGTATAATATTCATTTCCCATCATGGGCAATTACACAATAAATGGGAACACACTTGCACTGGTGTACACAACTTCATGGAACACTATGCTCTTATTTGAGGAAGATAATACGCTCTTTCCTTGCCATAATTCCTGCTTCCATATTCTCTTTCCTCCCACTTCATTTGCCAACTTCATGGATCTGAGAGAGCACTTCTTATTTTACAGACCTTTTGCTTATTGCAGCCCCAGTTTAAAGTGCCAGCTTTCTTAGACGCATTTACAAGATACAGGTTTGTTAGTATTAATAAGCTATGACAAAAGGCTCCCGGATCTTCCCAGCCTGGAACACACCTTCCAGTATTAGGCAGGCAAAAAAAGTGTAAAAAATTTTCAGTGCAAGAAACCCAACACAAGCATATGCTTGGAAAAAAAAAAAAAAATCCAAAGCCAAACAGCAGCATTCCAGAATTACAAAAAACTTCTGTAGGTATTTCTAATATGAAAAGGAAAATTAATAATGATAGAAAATTAATAATAGCTTACTTAATTATCTATCTTCACTAGTGAGTTCCAGGCAAGCCAGCAGCACTATGGACACTTTCAGCTCTGGGACAAAGTCACGCACAGACAAATCCCTGGCAGAGCTAAGACCGTCTCAGGCCTTGCTGTGTATATCACTCGGAATCAGCTATACTTTATGCTAACATATGCAAATAAAAAAAAAGAGCTTTTCTGAGCCTCACCACATTCCTAGAAGAGCAGGTCACGAACAGCTGGTCCAGAGAAACAAAGCAGGCTGCACTGCCCATGCTCAGGTACGTTTCCCTTAAAAACATACATAAAGACAATGTAACAGCACGCACACAAACACAACTTGAGACTTTGTTTAAAGCAGCTCTCAGAGCCTGCTGGAAACAAAGGCAAGGAAATGCATTGTTAGGAATTAGCCCCACTGCAGAGGCACCAGTGCAGGGAGTGGTCCTGGCACCCAAGCTAGCTCTCCAGTAAGAGCTCTTCCAAAGTCAGGTCCTTCGGGCTTCTCTGAGACTCAGTTTTGAGAAAGATTTTCCTGAGGGTGCAGGGACTGGGCCCTCCTTTCATACACTAGTCAGCCCACGGCTTACCTCTTCCTGCAGTGTAGGGTCTCAGCAGCTCCATTTCCAGGAAAGGCGGCAGCTAGAGTTGGGAGCAAGGAAGTAAGAATGGATTCCCAGCAGTTGCAAACACCCTTGGTATTGACAGTCTGTGGCATGTCCGAAGCCAATAGGAATGGAGAAATGGAAGAAACATGGCACTTTGCCCACGAGTGAGCTCACACACAAGACAGGACTTTTAAGTACCATTAAAACCAGATGAACTCTCAGGAAAGACAGATGCTAGTAATACTCCAACTGCAGCATTATTATTATTATACAAAATCCATTCCAGCCTAGCAACGAAGAAGCAATAAATGCATAGTGGTCAAACTTTTTTTTTTCCTTTTTTATTTAAAATATCATTATAACCAATGGACATACTAGATAACAATGTATACATTCCAGTGGTGCACATGTAATGACCTATGGCATGAATGAGTAAAAAAACCACAATGTTCTCAGTAATGCCCCACCAACAGCTTATTTGGAGGGAATAAAGGAAAAGCAGGAAGAGGTATCAAATGTGGGGAAGAAAAAAAAAAAATTACAGTTTTTCCCAGTATTTTTAATGGTGTATCTTCCCCTTCATATTTCTTGGGACAAAAGAAAATTAAGACTATACTTCAAAAAGGGGCAGAAGGAATGATCACAATAATTAGGGGGTTTTTTTTCTCAACTTTAGTAATAAAAGTTAAAGAACTCTCAAAAATAGACTAGATATTGGGCCTACAAAAGTAATTCATCTGTATGCAAAGCCTACCAAGAATTATTCCTTTTGTAAAATGTAAAGGATGAGCTGACATTACTAGTAAGCTATTTTTACCTACAAAACCAGACTACAATAATAAAATCACCAATTTACAGCTAACACACTATTCTAGATGTACAATATTGTACACAAGCTATATATTACACATGAACATCTTACGTGAAATATATAAGAAACGTACTTACTGATATTGTCTCAACATTGGCCAATAGGTTTATTTTTCTAGAGGAAGTGTATTTTCTATTCACATTCAGTGTAGTTCCAATAGCAAGGGTTAGATTTGCTTACTTAAGTAACATATAAAGTTTGTGTGAGGTAGTTCAAGAAAACCTATCTTAGATTTTTAACTGCAGAAGTAGAAACACAATGTGATCCAATTCATAACACATTCCTGTAATGCAGAGATATCTAAAGAGGAGAAGGGGGTGCAAGAGATCACTTAAAACACCACTTTTATCCAGTGCCCTTAACTAGGAATAAATTAAATGAATTGAAAATTTGGGTAG